AAGGCATTCTACAATATTTCCGAGCACTTATATACGTAGACAGATATTACAGATGTTACAGATGTATTCACAGATGGTCAACTAAGAACAGCACATGTGACGGCATAAGAACGAGAGGAATGTTACCGAATGAGTATATGATGATACAATAAGCCAACGATAAGAGATGGGAAAAAGAGAAGTCGTGGTTGACCACGACAACACCAGCGGGAGGAGCTAGGCCAAGTTGGGAAGTATATTCCCATGAAAGAAAGATTGTTCACTATCACAGTTAAGCGAACTCACCATTCCAAACTTTCTATAGACAATATGATGAAAGGTAACATTTCATTGCCCTTTTCACTTCCAAATGCCACCGGCTGAAAGAGTTAGGAATTATTTGGAAGGAATGACTACTTGCACTAACGGACATAAAAACCTCTCCCTCATGCTGCTGTTGAGGTCCATGATTGGTTATTGAGGGTAATAAACCAATCATTAAGCTGGTATTGCCAGATTCGGAAATGACCTGAGTTGACCTTTACCTTATTTATACTTCTGTAAAACGGCAACAGAAAGAGTAGAACGTTTTCCGGCACGACGTAGGTAGCCGGTTCCACAAAGAGGAACCAATCAGCCTTCTGGAAGGATAGCCCTATAGAGTTTTCATTATTCATGGTTTTTGAAAACAAAAGCGTCTGAACTTCATGTAGCTACTCCCAAAAACTTTACATAAAACAAAAGTCAGTTAAGACAAACCGTCCAGTGGTGTACGAATGTGACGCGAAAAGCCTCCCACCAGTATGAAAGTTCATTTGTATGCTTGTACAAGGAAAATGATTTGCATCGTGAAGCCCAAATCTGAGATAGACTTGGACTAGTTACAGGATCACACGGTCTCGGGCGGAAAACATGAGAAGTGTTACTTACCTTGCTGGCATTAAGTGACCGATTTCTAGTATTGTTATCCGTCAAGAGCACACAATGCAGACGTATAGTTTTATTAAGAATATCCGCTACTGAAAACAGGTAGCAAATTAGAACTCCTCCTTATGGATAAACGATAGAGTTTTTGGCGTTAATGAATCCCGTCTGAGGAACGCGCCCCAACATTAGACTCCCACCCAGATCAAGGTGTCATAATGAATGCGTATGTGACCTATAGAGGGACTTGGGGTGACCAGGGGGCGTGGTGCAGTAGACTCGAAATTGTCGCTTCGCGGCGAGAGGGACATCGCGCGCGAAGGAATGTAGCAGAGTACAGCAGCAGGTAACACACACAGGAACAAAGGAAATAGTAGTAAAATCATGACTAAAATAAGGATCGCATATCGATGGAGCTGTATGAAGAACGCTAGAGCTGTAATGACGGCGAAGCGAATGGTCCGAGACAGCCGCGTGCGGCGAATCGACTCCGCAAAACCGATTCGACTGCCCGTCTCCCGTAGACAAGCGATGCACAAGTTGAAGTTTTCAACCTACCGGACAGGTCTGGTTGTAATTTATCGACCGTAAACAGATAGAAGGACTTGCTCGCCTTGGCGGGTACGGATCCAGGATTTGGACCCGTGACTATGCTTGTGTGACACTGCGCCACTTGCCTCTGGGCCTCTATACCGCCGCGCCCAACTCCTTCTAGTTAGTGCGAAAAAATTATTCGGACTATTGCTTTTACTGTGAAATGCTTAGGAAGTCCTAATCTCGTCACGACGCTTCCTAAATCTGAATTCGCTCAAGAGCGCCCACAAAATCGGAAGCGAACGAAGAAGAAAGTTAACATAAGCGGATAATAAGGAAGGAGGCTTCGGTAAATCAATCAATCATCCAGCATTTATTAACTTAATATATTCCTTCGAATTGCAAAGAACCCGTGTGGGAGCTCCTGTAAAGTTTTGGGTATCGGAAGAAGAATCACAAGGTGCTGCGCGAACTGCGAACTGATTAAGATTATTCGTAGAAATCTAGTAAAAACATACTGCTCATGTTGTCGCGTTCGAAATGATCAACTGCATCGTATAACTCGTCCACTGTTACCATTTCGATGTGAGTTTTTGATTGTTGCACCTGAAAACTGAGGACGGTACGAACGTGCGTCCGAGGGTGCACGCGGCAAATTGCGCGGCGAAGTTTGTGACGATTTATACGACTCTGGCGCCAATTTTCGGGGCACAAACTCAAAGTGTAGTTTAGTAGGGTCAGATGGTCCTTCTAATCCACACTATTCCAAATTTGGGCCCCAATGATAGGCGCCAAAGTCGTTCAGATCATTACGAACTTCACCGCCCAATTTGCCGCGCGCATCTTCGGACGCACGTTCGTACACATACCCCCTGAAAACAGTTTTCACGCAATATTATAAAATTGTAACTGCTTTACAAGAGTAAAATCGAGTTAGCTTCTCGATGAAGAAGAAGAAGCGCAAGCATAGCATACTCAAAGGCACAATTCACAATAAAACGTTTCTGAAGTTTTGCCTTAGGCGAATCTCTGTTTCCCAAGTACGTCACGTGGGCCGTTGTCGGGTGGAAAATCGGCCTATATCGGGCGCAATAGAACTCAAAAAACGTCTTCGCCAACGTCTACACTCAAAGGCGGACGTGTTTTGGCGGCGTTGTAGAGTCTGCATCATTTGCAACGGAGCGCATATCCAGTGGACCCATGCGACACTGGAAGACAGTTTTTGGCATTTTTCTGCTGCCACTGTAGCCACCGTAATTTCGTACTACAAACTCTGGACTATTTTAAAGTCTTACATTCTGCTAATACCACCGCTTTTCTCGCTTGCTTCGTCATTATTCTGCACTTATTTTCACGTTTTTGACTAAACATAGCCACTCCGAATTTGTCGTGATCTATCCCTCCAACCACAGTCCATAACCTTCTCCCAATCTTGATATTATTGAAGGGGTTGGACTCTACATGTTGAATCCTTTTAATGTATGGCTGTGTTGCACAGCTTTCAATTTTCTTTACAAAGCTCCCAAATTTCGATTGTAGAGACGTTGAACAGAGTTTAACACTGGCAAACTTCACGAATCTAGTGACTAACGATTCTGAAGATCTCTACTGACAGGATGCTGATAGCGGTTTACTCACTCCGTCTCACTTCCGTCACCAGTACTAGTACTAGCACATTTCAATCTGAAGAATCCATAGAGGCCTGGGACGATGATTTAGGTTTTTTCTCATCAAAGTCTTTGAATTTAGAGAAGAAACCGATGGGGGAAGGAGCTTACGTGCGTCCGAGGATGCGCGCGGCAAATTGCGCGGCGAAGTTCGTGACTATCTGAACGACCTTAGAGGCTATCATTGGGGCCCGAATTTGGAGTAGGGTAGATCAGTATGATTTGCTGACCCCAATAAACTACTCTACTTCAAGTTTGCGCCTCAGTAGTAGGCGCTAGAGTTGTTCGAATCGTCACGAATTCCGCCGCGCAATTTACCGCGCGCACCCTCGGACGCACATATGTACCCATAGCCGAAACCGATACATAGGACCGGTGAATTTTCTAAGAGTTATAAACACGAAGACATAATTCGGAATGATATTCACATGTATCAAACTAGGCAAACTCACGTATACATAAAGGCCAATGGCAGTACCGACC